ACCGATCAGATATTTATTATCCCCTCAAGTCGCCTCCCATATCTTCTCTGAGTTCCAACTTTGATCTATTACTCTCTCAATCAATCATCTCAGCATCTCATACTTCCCTCAATACTTATCTGCTATTCATACATAGTAAGTTTACCCGCATACTTACGTCGACTATTCTCTCTCCCCCTATCCTCCTACCTCTCTTCCTCTCATACTTCCTTGACCGGATCTTTGCATCATTGGATTAGGTCCATCTAACCGTCCATTCTGTGAACCTTAGGACTCTGATCTCAACCACGGTTCCCCACTCAACTGAGCCTCCCGATCGGTTTCTCTCAGCCTGAATCGGTCTCCCTCTGCCCGACGTTTCCAGACGCTTCGACCTGTTTAACATCTACTTTGACTCTGGACCATCCGCTCAAACTTCCAACTCTCTTGTTGACTCATTCTTCTGGTTGCAATTGCTCAGCAAGTCTTTTTAACACCTACGATCTTGGCCCCTTCGAGACTTTTGGGGGCCCTTGTGCCAACTTATCTTCATTAAACTCTCGACCTCTCCGGGTGGCAAACCCACCGTCTCCAGTCGGCGTCATCTCTACTCTGACGTCCAACCACGACACAAGCAACATTATGTTCATGCACCCTGCCGTACGTAAGGGTTTTATCACTGAACCAACTTCTGTCCCGTTCTACAACCACCAAGACCCCGTTTGCATACAAGACGACCAGTTCCTGCCTGAATATTCACAAGAGGCCGTGTATCATCAGCCACGACTTCAGACTCCTTTCCAGTATCACCCGGACTTGCAGTTCGTCTCTCCGCCGTCTTCCGCCCCTTCCTCTCCCACCTCCTCTCCCGCCTCGATCGCCTCTCACTACCCAACCACGGCGGTGGCCGCGGATTGCTCTTCTGCTGTCTTCGACAGCAACTCCTTCGAGGCTCCTTCGATGACCCCTTCCTCCTCATATAACCCCTCGATCAGCTACCAGCACTCAGCTTCACCACAATCTCAGCCCTACTTCTTCCAACCATACTACGACGATAACACCCAAATGTTGGCGCAACACTCCGCTCCGAACAACCACGGCTGGGATGGCAACTTGCAATTGTTGAACCCTGCTCGTATGCAGAACAACCTGTCGCGCATGCCCCAGTTTAACAACGACTCCCAAATGAAAGTTGCCTCCAGTCCGTCCTCTAGTCGATCAGCCCCAGCAGGCAGCTCTTACCAGAGGTCGAATGGCCAGTCGAAGCCACTTCCAACCCCATCCCAGACACCTGTGCAGAACTCGATTCTTGCAGGGTCGTTTCAGGATGGCAACACAGCTGACGCAGAGTTCGCTATGAGGCGGGCTGTTATGGAGCAGCAGAAGCAGCAGCAGCAGCAGCCGCCGCACCAGCAACAGCAGCAATATCAGCCTCGCCATCAGCACCAGTCCAGTGACTACTCGGTGTCGACTGTGAGCCAGAACTCACCAGTTACCCCCCAAACAGGCTTCGAAGAACTCGATGAGTCCTCGAAGACCACCAATGGTGAGAACCGGTTTCCTGGCGTGGACAAGTGGATGGATGATTACTTACATCTCGATTCACTTTCAGACTACACGCACCATAATCCAAACAACCTGACCATTGGCATCCCTAAGTTCAACCGTACCATCTCTGATATCTACCAGGATGAGCTGTACAACCCAACTTTGATGCCCACGCCACAGGTTCCTAAGCAGTCCACTAATCAGCAAAACATGCTTGCTCCGACATACCGCAACGTGATTGCTGATAGACTGCAAGCCGCTAACCAAGGTCACCTCTCTGCACGGTCACAGTCGCCTATGGGGAGCATGCAGCGGGATCGCTCTCCGTTCCGGCAGAACTCCCCCATGGCTGCAGAGTATAACAGCGCTGGCTTGCAACACCCGCAGATGGCGACCAGCGTGCCTGGGTCACAGAGTGGCGTGAGCATCGCCCCCTCATCTCAGAATGAGCCCAAGACGATGTCTCCCAAGGATGCGCTGCTGGATTACAATGAAGGCGACGACTCCGATTTGCATGCCCCTGGAATGCCGCTGTTCCCCCCCTCATCTCAGCCCGATTTCAATTTGGGCGATGCGCTGGGTGGATTGCGCCGTGAAAGCTCTTCTTCCTACCAACCTACCCAGAACTTCACTTCTATGGAGGCTTTCCCCGCACAATATGCCACTCATATGGCTGGACAGCAATATCCTTTCGGTCAGCAACACCAGAGTTCCCGCCAGGCACAATCCCAACAAAACAGCCTCCTGCACCAGACTCCTGAATTCCCAGCCTCGTTGCCCCGCTTTGAGTCCACTGGAAGCGAGATTCTTCCCACGACCGAAATGACATCTCCTCAGGGTCAGCCAAGAGTGGCCCTCCAGCCTGTCAAGGCGGAGATCCCTCGACCTGAGAACACCTCGTCTGACAGTGGGACTTACACCTGCACCTATCACGGTTGCACCCTACGGTTTGAAACGCCTGCCAAGCTCCAGAAGCACAAGCGGGAGGCGCATCGCCAGACCACTCCTGGTGGACATCTGATCGGGCGTGACAACTCGGCCCGGAACTCTCAGGCTGGCCCTCACAAGTGCGAACGCATCAACCCGTCCACAGGCAAGCCGTGCAACTCAATTTTCTCTCGCCCCTACGATTTGACCCGCCACGAGGACACGATCCACAATGCTCGCAAGCAGAAGGTTCGGTGTCATCTGTGCACGGAGGAGAAGACCTTCTCCCGCAACGATGCGCTCACCCGGCATATGCGCGTGGTGCATCCCGAGATTGATTGGCCCGGCAAGCAACGTCGCAGAGGCAGAGAGTGAAGCTCTAGTGGATCTGCTCTCTACAGCGCTAGTGGATATGATCCATTCCCCACGATCGTGCCAAACAGCGAACAGCGAATCCCCTGGCTCTGGGAGGGGGGGAAGCTGTTCCACCGTCCCGAATCGTGGGCGACGGGGCTTGAGTCAAAATGACGCGCGAAAGCCGCCGACGTCATAAACTAGACCCGAACTGGTAACGACTCGCTAACGGGTCCGGATCGACGGAACAGATTTCCGCTTTGGGCGACAGTCCTCGAGGCCTTGCAGCCTGAAGCATTGGCCATGACATCATCGGCTCCTGAATTGGACCGATACACTGCGATGCTGAACTCATCCAATTGTTCTTTCCTATCTATCGCTTTCAACCGTTTGATGACGTACATGCTTCCCTTTTCTGTGTTCATGAGCCAGCCTTTTGATTTTTTGTGCATCTTTAGATTTCTGTTTATTGTCATTGGGTCATAGGGGAAATGGTTGCATCAAAAGAAGCAATTTGTTCATATGGGATGATGACACTGTGATTATACTCGTCACGCTTGCGCAGCTGGATCTGTTCAAATTTTGTTCTTGTTTTATACATGCGTGGGATTCGAATCCTTCGGGCATGCTGTACTATACTCGACTGTGTACGATTGTTACGTTTATGATGTGTCGCACGTCTTTTTGTTACTGATTGCGAGGTTCTTGCATTGGGATGGCATGGTGTGGGTTATTTGGGCTTGGGATGCAAAAATGTCCATATACACGAATGGCTTGTACAATAGCTTTGTTTGATTGCTTGGTGGATAATGTACAAATATCATCACCATGATTGAGATTCCACGACTATCGTTCGCTTGTTGTGTAGAGAGTGGATTATACTCGTAGTATGAGTCGATGAATGATAGCCACCCCATGACTCGTCAATCCACTTGATCTAGGATAGATGACCCATCCATGCCTCATTCTACCAGGCCAGGTCGAACTGTACTCGTACCTTGGAGCACCCGGAGTCGGAGTCACTACCTAATCATTCCTGCCGGTGTCATGGGCAGGAGGGAAAGCTATGAAACCCGAGTGCTCCATGCACTCACGCCCCTCCGTCACTACAGCGACTGACTACTGAGTACCTAGTACCTAACCCCCCCCCCCCCCCCCCGGCCGGGACCTGCATTTGGGTAGGGTTACACAATCGCAACAAAGAACAACACACAAAAAAAACAAAAGATCAAAAATAAAATTTCGGCAGAATTTCGGCGATGCAGCAGGTACGTAGGCAGGATACATGCTAATGTTCTGGTAGAAGTGTCTGGTGGTCTGTGATGTATGAGTTACCTACCCCAGTAAGTACTGTACTTGCTTTACTTGTACCCCGGTGACACCTGTGTGTATGTGTACGTTCACATAGTACCTCCCCAGCGATACAGCGTAGAGTAAGGTATAGTAAGGTAAGGTAAGTATGCCATCATTCCGTTTACTGCATACAGCACCTATCGTTTTGGAGGTTGGAGTTGGGGCTATCGATACATGGAATTCGAGGGGTCGTAGCAAGCAAGCAGGGCAGGGCAGAATTGCTTCGAATTCCAAGGTATTCTACGGTACGGGTTGAACGGTAAAAGCAAGATTGAGAATCCAATACCTCAGATAGGTTATAGATCTAGAGTTGGGGGATTGACTGGGGGGGGGGAGACATGAGTGAGGACGTATGGGGGCCAGCGGGCAGATGATTCTGAATCTACATCATACCTACATAACACCACATTTTCAGGGTCATGCTGTGTGGTGGTTCTTGCTCTTTCTTGATTTTTGGACGAGACGTCCGTGTGGTTCTTGCTTGGACGAGTTAGAGGGGGTTTGGAGGGGTCTTGGCTTTGATAATTATGATGAAGATGGATGATATGTGATGTTCGGGCTTGGGTTTTGGCGATGGCGATGGGAATGGGGATGGGGATGGGGGTGTTTGTTGGTTGTAGGTTTTGGTGGTGTTTTGGGGGCTGCAGTACAGTCCAGGTGGGTGGGATTGGAATTGCTGCTTTTGCTCAGTTGGCTTCTGGTGTGCCGTTACGGAGTTCCTTACACTTAAATGTCATTGCGCTTGCGCTTACACTGCAGTGGTTTATGGGCTGTGGACTGCGGACTGAGACTGTGGACTGTGGACTGTGGACTGTAGACTGTGGATGTAGGTAAATTATGGGTTGAGTACCTACCGAGGTAGGCCATTCCTCAACACTTACTCGTACCATAGGTTATAACGCAATCTGGCATGTACTTTGTGTACACTCATCCAATAGTGCTGGCGCTATGTACGGTGCAGTGGGCTTTAACTCGTCTAGGTTAATAGTGAAGTGGGTTTTTCCGTCGTCCCGACTTCCTGGACAAAAGACGTTGGAGGAGAAAGCTCGAGCTGGAGTCTTACGAGATAGGCGTTCCTCCTGTGGAGAATGTTCGTTCGATGGTGGGTGGATGGTATGTACTGTATGTACTTTTTGTCTGACGTGCCGTCACAATGGAGCAATCATTGCGTCCTCGCCTCTCTTTTCCACCACCCTTGTTGTATACCCCCCTCCCATTGACGAATGGGATGAGATCCATTGTGTAAGTAAGGAGGGGACCATTGCGATGTACAATCCACAGGCGGGGTTACTCGGCGGTCTTTTTTTTTTTTACGGTGATCCTACAGACACGAGTCAGTGCGGTGGGTTCTGTTGCTCATTGAGTAAGTAAGGGTAGTGAGTAGTCGAGTATTCTCGACATCGGACGGGACGGGACGGGGGGGGTGGGAGGTGGAGGATAGTCAAGGGTAGGGAGGGAGGTAAGGGTAGCTGTGGATGCAAGTCAAGTCATTTCGAACTAATATGTACATCATCATGGGGTGGAGAAGTGGACAAACGAACAAACCATCTCCCCTCCCTCAAGAAGCTTTGGTCAGGGTGGATTTGGTGGAGTGGGGATGCATGGGTGGGTGGGTTGTTGCATGGTCGATTGCCGCGTTTACTTACTCGTTCGGGGTCGGGATCATCGCGGATGATGGAGATATGGCCTTATTTCCCCGTGTCTGACGCTATTATTGCATTTTGGGAGCTTTGGAGGGGGGAGGGGGGAGGGGGGGGGCGCGTGTTTTGTTTGGGATAGGCGGTTCTAGGAGCCAAGATGGGTGGTAGTAGAGAGAGAAGTAGTTTCAATGGTGCCTGGACTGCTGAGTATCTTGGGCTGGGAATTTGGCCGCACTACTGGGAGGTCATGCATTATACGGATATATGGTTGTAGGTCGGTGAGGTGCAAAGTACAGTACGTACTCAACTCAAATGAACAGACAAGACAAGGTTCGATTTTGTAACTGTCTCGCCATGAGGTGCTCTGAAACCCGCTCTCTCCACGTTGGGGGAGTCAGTGATTGGAGGAACCAGGAACTGTATTTCCGAGGCCGTTTCTCTGGAGAACGTGCACTTCATCATACCTAATCATATGGTACAATACATACTTACGCCTGGGAGGTCGTGAGGCCTATGGTCGTCCGAATTGAGTCATCCCAGGTTTGGTATCAACTTCAATCCCATAGAGCAATTGGTAGAACACCACAAAGCCCAGCGCCCAAGTACTGTCCAGCAATGCCATAACTCTGGCCTGCATGCATGCATACATATATCCTCCTCACCACCGACCCGGATACCCGACCACCACCATGACATATACAACCAGAAGAAACACCACCCACCAGGGAGCAAAGCCTTACGCCATGCAATATGAACCTCCCACAAGCCACAAATCGCATGATGATATACGGATCATGTTGATCTCGTCCGTCCGTCAACCGATTACACGTACAGTAATGGCCTTACCAGGTATGAATGAGGAGTGTAAGGGCCCCCCCGTTTTCTGTGTGATCGGGTCTACCCATCCGGGACCATACATAATTCGAATTCATCATTATTCGGACTGCAATGTCGATCATGACACCATGGCGCATTGTTGGCTGACCCGCCCGTGATGGATGCGGTCGGTATGTCATGAGGGATGCGGTTTTGAAGCTTAACTTTGATGGTTATTCCAACAAGTCGTCTCGATGGTGTAGTTGGTTATCACGTGGGTCTCATACATCAGTATGACTCGGAAGATCACTTCTGGGCGATCCCAAGGCCGGGAGTTCGAACCTCCCTCGGGACATTTCGTTTTTGGGCTTTTTTTCTTCGCTTTATTTGATCTTTTTGCCCCGTCACACAGATGATTAATATCCTCGTGTTGGTTTTTGAGTTCGACTTCCAGGGTCTTGGTGGAACGCGCAAATTGCATCGTAGAAGCATCTACAAACCTCTGCAGTCTGCATACCAGACTGTATAATGCAGGGCTAATTCAGATCCGAGCACCCCCCCCCGGCCTTCAACAAGGCATAAACCACTACGATGTCAATACAAAAGCATGACAGGCAGGCGCTGATCGGCCACTGCAACCCTTGTCCTCTCCGTTGTAGACTTACAAAACACAAGCACAGAGGACAGTGGGCTGTCTACCCGAAATTAGGTCTCTGGCCCACGCAGGAAGCATCAACAACAGATGCTGAATGCCGACCTGGCCACTTTGTATACCGAGGCTACTCTGTTGTCCATCACCCCGGTGCGTCTCGGTCATATGCCGCAGCACCTATTGGGGGCAGACGACTGTATCCTCTCTCGGCGGCTCATAGGGCGCCTCGAGGTATGCCTGTTCAGGCTCGGAGCTCTATAATGACATTAGTAGCTGAACCGATGGGCTCTCGCCAGCATCGTCCGCCATTTTCACGATCAACATGGAGGCAGTCCCGTGGGAGTAAGGCCGGCGCATCTGTAGACAAGTTCTCCCCTACCTGGTGTGCTTGCTCGCGTCAAATGACCTGTAGCAACAAGTCTTCATCCAAAGTTTCATGATTTTTGCATTTCCCACCCAGTCAGTCGGTGTCTGGTCATGGGTGATCATATGGTGCCATGGTTCAGTCGGTGTAGCCTACAGCGAGCACCGTAAGCACCCGCATGCGCAGCAGCTACGTACACTCGCCGTCGCGCGAGTCGAATAGCCCTCACGAACTTTACCCTTGATTGTGATCCAGGCAGGAGTATGTCACCCAGCCCAGCGCTGAGTGTCGTCGGCAGATGTACCTCGATGTTTCTGGTCCATATACTCCCGTAGCATGGCGCTGCATCGTCTCGTTTCGGAATGAGCACTGTCGGCATTCTGTGCAGACAGGGCGACTTGCCGGAGCGATACGCCGCTCCCAACGGGTGTGGGTCATTTAGTGACTAACCGATAGGCCGAACTGTCTTTGCGTAACTGCTTGTGGCTTTGCTCATGATGCTCAGCAGGTGGACTGTGCACTGGGCATTGTGAACTTTCAACCGGCATCTGGTCGACGGGTTCCAAATTCCTCGGCCCGATTTGTCTTCTGCTTTGTGGATGCCCCTTGTTCCAGGCTTGATCGCGTCCGTCGAATGTCTGTCCTGTAGCGGAGCTTTTCCACTGGGATTTGTCGAGATAGTGGCAGGAGGGGCTGGATACGCTGGTCTATGATCTCTCCTCGTTGCCGTCGCGGAAAATCTTCGTGTGTTCAGAATATCGAGGGCAAGAGCTATAGTAGCCTTGCGAGATGACAAGTCAGCTAGGGATCCCGAGTGATCAATCGCGTCACTTCCTGGTATCTCCGTGTCTCGGTGTACATTGTCCTGCCATCGACACCGCAGTCTAGACAATGGTCCTCTGGTTGATATTGACCAGAGCTCCGCAGATGACCCAGACCCGGGCTGGTCAGATTCTGCTGGGCTTGGTATCAGGAAGCACTTCTCATCGAGTCACAAACTGTCTGACCTTGGACGCATCGGTGTTGGGTTTAGGGCGAGCCGTTGGGTTAACCTGTGGCAGAGTAGGGTGTTGCGATTCTTATTGGCAGTGATGGGGGTTGACTGTTCACGACGATCGTGTATTGCTTGAGTCGATCGCTCTAGTCTTCTGCGGTGCTTGCCATCACCGGGGTTGGACTGGGTTGATTGATATTGATCCAGCTCCGTGGAGTGCCATGTTGAAGCTTGACCGTCTCTAGTCGTCTCAGTCTTCTGCCTGTCCTCCCTTTTGTCCTGGCCCCCGACTCTCGTTCAGTGGTGTAGAATGCGTCATCCTTCGGATCTGCCGTGTGGTTGCTAGTCCGTCTGATCTCGGGTTCAACCTGAGCGGTTGGAATGGGTTGAACCCGGGTTGAACCTGCTGGCGATGCGGTCGCTCTTTTCTTTTGGAGCCGGGAGGTTTATGTCCGCGTACCTTTCTGTGGGGTTATTTGTCGGTCATTGCGATCATTGCGATCATTGCGATCATTGCGATCGTAGCTGTGAACGGATCTGAGCTCTTGATGCAATCAGATCATATTGGCACGTCGTGATTCTTCGCCGCGTCATGGACAAGACTTGATATGTCTAACATCCGCGAGTATTTGTTGTGAATAGTGTCTGTGACGCGTAGCATTTATGCTCAGACCTATTCTGGCTTAGTTCAGAGTTGTCGGAATGTGTGTTCAAGATGGATTCTTCTGCGACGATATGATGAATCCTCGTTGTACCGAACCTCGCCATACCGGACTCCTCGATATGATGACCTTTTTCCGCGTTTTTTCGGCCAGTTTCACGTGGATCAATCTCGGTGTAGATAGTTCCTTGGTACGATGGACCATGTTGGCTTTCCATATCGTTCGTCATAGCGAGTGTCTACTGTACGCATCACGCGTTTCATGCTGGACCCGGGGCCGCGGCGTGGTACGGGGAAGCATATACTGTACGTTATGAGCTCCGTGTGGTTGCGATGGTACTCTGTTTTGCATCCGAGTATGTATTGGCCTCGCACCAGGAGCTTTCCGGTGAGTATTCTAGTCATCGCTGTCTTTTTGCTTTCGAGTGCTCGTTTTTCGTGGTTGTGAAGAGCATTGTTTGGCGACGTCTCGGGCGGATTAGCATGTACTCCGTAGAGTCGGTGCCAAGTCCCGCTCGAGCTTGGGTTGAACCCCGGCGGGTTTTCCACGGGTTCGGGTCGGCGTCGAGTTGAACCCCCCAGCTATCACTATTTGATGTGCATGATTACACTCTTGATATCGGTGCTATGATGTCGAGCTTGCTTCTGATGGCTCTGTGGCCTGTATTCTCCGAGGTTCTGCCTTTATTTTGGTGTGTTACTGCAGTGTTGTCATGATTTAGAAGAGTGTAGGATAGTGTTGGGGTCTACTCGGGAGGTGCTATGATATATATTGCAGCATACACCATAGTTTTGGTACTAAGTCCTCAACATTATCCCCGATCTTCCAACATAACATACGATATTCACAGTGCAAGGACCACACAATCAAGAGTGACCAGCTCCATTACCGACAAAGCCCATCAAAAGTAAAACACCTGGGAAGATCGGCGTGGAAAAGGGACATTAATATTGACGTCGCGTAGAACATCCAGACTACAGACCAAGAATCGGATGAACATGACTACATCGAAACAGCGTAGAAAGCACAAGAGCGATTTGCATTGCTCCTACATATACAACGACATACGGAGAGACATTCGGAAGCTACGATCATATTAGAACAATCAAATCAACACAGGAGAGGGGGGATGATGCCTGAGGAGTCAAATCAACGAGTTGACGGAGGCCCGCAATCACGCCGCGAAGCGACACGCGTCGCAGCACAACCGAACAAGGCAAACGCACAATAAAGGCGAAAACCAAAGGACAGCGACCAGAAGCAAGCTACGCAAAGAGACACAGAAATTTGTTTTGAGTTCTTTCGACCGTTTGTATTCATATTCGACCGCGTCTTAGGTAGGTCGCGCGATCGTGTTTAGCCTATGGCACCAGCCGGAAGCATAAAGGCCGCTATGATACAGAAAATTCAAGCGCGCGCACTAGCAGACCAGTAGTGGACGCGTAAAAGTAAAATAAAGTGCGATAAAGCAAACCCAGACCCATGGATACTTGTAATAAAAAGATCAAGAACACCCCAACGTCCCAGTCATACCATAAACCAACCCGAAAAAGCAACCCGTCGCGTCACTGCTGCGGAAGGACAACTGACGCGCCGACCGCGCAGGATGGCTAAAAAGAAAAGAGCAGGAAAAGAAGAACGCGTTTAACCACCGAAACCGTAGAGGGTGCCTGAGAAAGAGAACAAGTTAGAATGCGTTGCTTGGAGCAAGCGCGTTTTAGGAGCAAACTTACGGCCTTGACGCTTGAGAGCGTAGACGACATCGAGGGAGGTGACGGTCTTGCGCTTAGCGTGCTCAGTGTAGGTGACGGCGTCACGGATGACACCCTCGAGGAAGGTCTTGAGGACACCACGGGTCTCCTCGTAGATCATGGCAGAGATACGCTTGACACCACCACGACGAGCGAGACGGCGGATAGCGGGCTTGGTGATACCCTGGATGTTGTCACGCAAAATCTTGCGGTGACGCTTGGCACCACCCTTTCCGAGACCCTTTCCACCTTTGCCACCTATTGGAAACGCGTCATGTCAGTTTACATGATGCATGAGATGGGAGAGTTGATCCCAATGGAGGAATCAGGTCTAAGTGGAAGCAATAGACTTACGTCCAGTCATGTTGACGGTTTGTTGTGAAACGGAATTAGAGTTGAATTAAAGTTGGTGAGGTGATAGGAGGTGGAGATAGAATGGGCGATTAAAGCTGGTGATAGATGTTAAGGGAAGAAGGAGGAGAGGCTTCCATGGGACGGGGGATTATTTGTATAGCGAAAGGCAGAGGGCGGGGAGGGCGTTGGAATCACACGCTAAGACCGGAATCAGCCAATCAGCGGGCAGGATCCCGGACGGCGGGCTTGATCTGGCCGGCAACGTGACCGAGCAGTGGTGATTCCGCTGCCTCAGACTTGATCTGCCCCGGAATGTCCCCAACCACCGAGATCAACGATCAAAGAAGATCAGAGACATTCTGGCCGATGGCTGCCATTCTACCAAGCATTCTGATGGCCCTTCATCCCTTCCCTGAGGTTGAGATCAAAGAGGTGGCAGGGGGGCATTCTAGATGCGTGATCCTGTGATCCTATTGGCTGACGGGCGGGAAGGAACTCGCTTAGCGCAGGACCGCCTTTTCCCTTCCCGCCCGAAACTGCCTGCTGGCCCTTTGATTTTGCCCGCCAAAAGTGAGACCCGAAATCAGAGCTTATGGTGTACTGCTTTCCGATCGATTTTTGGATCAAAGGAAACGGGCGCTAAGGCCACCACCCTCCATTACTGCCAATTCACTCACTCACCCACCCGCCCGCCCCCCTCACACTTCACCACCCAGATCACTACCCACCCCTCTCGCTTACTACAAATACCGCCCCCCACCCACCTCCTCCATCCTTCTTACATCTCCCCAATCCCGTCGACACCTTACTACTTCTATCATCGACAACCATCCACAACTTTATCTTTCCATCTCAAGTCGACTTAATTCATCAAACCTAAACATCTAAAATGGCTAGAACCAAGCAGACTGCCCGTAAGTTCCACTTCACCTCACTGTCACTGTCGTTCCTCTTCAAAGGGGTTCGTCGTCTCGCGTCATGGTCGCGACACGTCTCACACCTTGAACGCGCCTCACCTCACCCGAACCATCATCATGCTAACCACTTTGCTTTGCAGGTAAGTCCACTGGTGGCAAGGCTCCCCGTAAGCAGCTCGCTTCCAAGGCTGCCCGCAAGGCCGCTCCCTCCACCGGCGGTGTCAAGAAGCCTCACCGTTACAAGCCCGGTATGTTCTTTCTCTCAAAGTGGTCACTGGATCATCTCTTCTAATACCTCACCCCGCAGGTACCGTCGCTCTCCGTGAGATCCGTCGCTACCAGAAGAGCACTGAGCTCCTCATCCGCAAGCTCCCCTTCCAGCGTCTGGTCCGTGAAATCGCCCAGGACTTCAAGTCCGACCTCCGCTTCCAGTCCTCTGCCATCGGTGCTCTCCAGGAGTCCGTTGAGGCCTACCTCGTCTCCCTCTTCGAGGACACCAACTTGTGCGCCATCCACGCCAAGCGTGTCACCATCCAGTCCAAGGACATCCAGCTTGCCCGCCGTCTCCGCGGTGAGCGCTCCTAGATTCATTTAACCTTCGAATGAGTCTATCTCTGCAACTGGTTGGCTCTTTTATGGGATGGCGATAACGGGGTTTCTTTCTTTGCTTATTTCATGACTACTGGCGATACATGATGGGTTTCTTCTTTTGCGAATTTCACAACGGGTCTCTCGGCAAATGGGTTTTGTGATTTCTCTTGCTACGCAATAAATAGTAGGCTGCCGAGTTTGTTTCTCTCGAGCGGCTCTGGGGTGGATTGATGATCGTGGCGATGCATCCGTCCGAATATGTACATTACAGATGATTTGATTCGAGAAGCGACTTCCACCGGAAGCGCCATCGGATGGCATAGACGCGAAATGCAGGATCTATGACGATGCAATCCAATCCAGCTCTGTGATTCGCCTAGTGATGATGTTCTATCTCTTTAGTGGTGGACTAAATCCTGGTCTGATGACATATGCTTCGTAGTCTGATTCCTTGTGTAGGTTCTGCTCCTTGCCCCATGGTCGGGAGGAGAGAGTCTGGCGAGCCGCGACGCGCCGCGCGACCGCGCCGCGATCCCGAGAATGTAAACGTATTAGAAGATCCTCATGACGTTTCTCAGTATCGTCTGCCCTCTCCTGCAGCATCCAGATTCTACTTTTACTCCTTTGTAGACAATCTACGCTGGCATGAAGGGACCCAACCCCCCTTTCCTGACTCATAGGGGCTCATCCTTCGCTCACCTGGCGAGGTGGCGAAATGGGCCAAAAATACCCTGGCAAATTAGACGAACAGTGGGCGACCGACCGACGGACGACCCCTGGAGAGCCAACCAGCCAGCCGTTTGAGTCTTTCCGTCATTTCTCGAAGATTATAGAACCAGGAACAACTTCGCCATTCTAGGTTTGGTTTTCCTTCTATCGATGTATGCCTGCGGCTTTCGACTTTTATGTTCTAGGAAGAAAAGTCGGATTGTTTTACAGAGTATTTGGACGGTGCTTTGTAGGTAGATCGGTCACGGTCTCTGTCGCTGCAATGGCGATGGCGATGGCAAAGGCCGGTTCGGGCGGAAGGGGACGGACGGGTTCAAGTTCTTTTGGACGAGACGAGTCTGGAAATGACGAATGGCGGAGGGAGGGGGGGGGGGGGTCATGATGAGATTAAGACGAGACGGCTTTGGTGTGAGAGGGAGCCTGTATATAGGACTGTGAAAGAAGTTACTGTTGGTCAAGGAGTACTGCGACCGCGAAAAAAGGGTTCACCTGAAGGAATTATCGCCTTGAGAAACGATAGTAGGTTATCGTGGCTGTTACTAGTGGTACAGGGAGGCCACCGGTCGGGCGAATTCTGCGGGTTTGGGAACTGCGACCGTCTGGTCTGGGTGTACGTCCATGATGTCGATGATCTCCAGCATTGATGGATCAAGAATATACGCGTTCTTATTGTGTCAATGTGAGAACCCAGAGACCTTACTTCATCATGCGAAGAGAGTACCTTGAGTTAAGAAGATCGCTGTATCTATAGGCCCTTGGTCCAAGCGTCGGCTGAGCTGCCCTGGGCAAGTTAGGCTTACTGCATAAGTATGGACTACAGAGTGACTAGAGCCCGCGGGCGCATTCTCCCCACTCACTCCCGCCAGCGCCTCTTATCGATAGTCGATCCTGAATCGCCTCAGCCTCAGAAGACGTGTTCATCATACAGAGGGGACTGTCTAATTCTGAAGTCTTTGCAGCAAATGAGCAATTCTAATATCTGAGTCACAGTAGCACTTGGGTCAAATTCATACCTTCTTGATGGGGAAAGATATGAGGCGTACCCGGTTTGTTCTCGACGCCCTAGCCACTCAAAGCACTCAGCCACAGATTGAATCTCTATGACGATGTTGCAATCGACGGCCTAGCCTCGTCATAGTCTCAACTCTGGAAATGCAGGGCGACCGGAACCAGGTTTCCGATCTTGGCTTGCAGTTGAGACAAAAGAGAACGAAAGAACCGGTGAGGGAAGGCAGTCTTCCTAAGCATGAGTGTGTCAACATTTGAGGACTTGCACGGAATCAGTCGATCATAGAGGTGGCCGCCGTTCGGACCAGATGACTCGAGGCGAAGTCTTCCGACTGCAATCTGCCAAGGGGATCAGTTGTCATCCTGCACTCTCCATGCTTGTGGAGGTATGGAAACGTTACATTGTGCATAAAGCATAAAACCTTGCGCTATACAATGGCTGCCTCAAGTCAGAAAAGCTTACGTGCACTTGCCACGTCGTTAAGTCGCGTGTTGTGTCTGAATAGCCCAAAAGTCACAAGACCTTTGGCGCGATCTGCTCGGAAATTCTTGTTTCTTTTGTTTGTGGATGTTGCTCCATGATGGAGCTTCAGCTAACGATGGCAGCGAGGAGCCAGCTGATTCTCGTAAGCCCGACTAGGCCCGGGCAAAGAGTCATGGTGATACGACCCGGCAGCGCAGCATGCACCGGCTAAGTAAGTCATTCCCGATTGGCAAAGGATTTGGCCCGAGAGAAAAGAGCACGGACGCGAGGCTTGAGGCTCGGCTCAGATATCATAAGGACGAAATCGAGACAGTCACCTGTAGCCCACCTACTCGTAGGTACCAGGTGTCACTTCCCTGATCTGGATTGCGATCAGTCCATCCCCATCCGCATGGCCCCTCCCCTCTCCGGATCGACGGGGCCCGGGACAAAGGGAACAGGTCGAACGCGAGTCAGACCGCCGGGTGCGCGTTCTGCTCTTCAATTCGTATTTCTCCAGTGTTAGTTGGTAGCACGGTCGGGGGATGCGGTGTGACCTCTCTTCGCTTACACTCCTCAATGAACCACTGAGTAAGAGGGCAGGGGGGCAATCAAGCCACTGGCGCCTGCGGAAGATTCCTCGAGAGAAGGACAAGACCGCCAATTCACAGCTTGCTTCTCCGGAACAGACTTTGCATTATGGACTTTTTTTGATGCCAATGTTGATTGAATGCCGATCACAAAGCTTTTATGAACCTTGATAAAATCCAAGCGTCTGATATAACGTTTAGATCATGAGTACGGAGTAGAAATGATTAAGATGAAGTAGTCCAGCAGGCAGTCGACTAGCTGGTCAGCGATGTGCGAGGGGTGGGGCGGCGGCGTAATCCGACAATCATCTATTTATATTGGGGTTGATTTGTTCCTGCAAAAGTGCTGAGGCCTGAGTATCATCCCAATCCCAACCCCTGCAAAATGGCCAGTAGCTGCATGTTAATACTGACGGGCCTGTGGCATAGTTGACTCGTCTTTACTCCGTACACTCAGGCTGCTTAACCGAGCCATTATCTCTGGGCTGCGTTATAGTTGCTGATTTGACCGCACGAGATCGTGACTGCAGTGTTGTTGACTATGCTGTGAAAGGCCACGCAAGGCCTGTTATGCAAGAAACGATCTTTAGTCAATAGTCGGATATTGCGCTTGATTCGGCCCACTTTGAGCAGGAAGATGATTGTTAATCACGTTATTTATGAAGTCGGATTATCGTCGGGATCCCGTAGCCCGCTTGGCGTGTCTGAATCATTTCTTCCGTACCGTAGGAAGGAGAGGTTCTCCCGCTGATGAGGTTCTAGTTCGACTCATCATATCCATCCATGGAACTGCCCGTTCTAGAAAACGCTAAGCCCGTCTCGGGACTTCTATGCGACCCGATGCAGCATAAGGTTCTGAACAGGCTGCATGTCACAATGATGATATCTTTTTCTCTCACCCCCCCGATCAGCCATCATCGTCGAGCAGGTTTTTTTTGCCATTGTTCTCATGATCAGTCCAGTCCCATCATCCAATATCCCGCTCAGATCCTTCGACGGTGGGCTGTCCATAACTTCCGGCTAAACAATCTGAAACGGCCATATCTAGGCTAGGACCGTGGGTTATGTAAGGCAGCTGTCTGCCTGATCTCCTGGACCTCGGTAAGTTCCCCTGTCGAAAGATAAAATTTCCACCACACGGATCCCCCCACATCAGCACTTTTCTCTTCATCACCGACTAATCATATCGAGCCCTCGCAGACGCCATCGGGATTGCCGTCCACGAGGTGTGCGGATTTGCCCATGGAACCAGAATTTCGAGCCTCCTGGGTGGGTTCGTCGGCCCACATTGGCTGAGGCCATGCAGTCTCGCCCGCCCCAGTGATGAATTTGTGCCCTGCATAAGCCGGCCTCTGTGCACGAATGTCGGCAGAAAGCCCCCGTTTTGGGAATCGCTGGACTGGTGTGTCCCTGGGTTCCTCGCTTTGGTCTCAGACCGGCGAAGATCCGAGGCTAAAGTCCCCAAAAGTCCCTACAACGATTAGTCGTTCCCGTCTGTAGCGCCAGGGTAAGATGACTCCGTGGTGGCCGTGGTGGGACAATGCCAGGTGGTGCAGACATTAGCAGAAATTTCTAGCCCCTCTCCTTAGTCGCTAGGCCGCTGTATATATCCGATGCCATGTCCCTCGATCGTACGTAGGTTGTTTCGGTTTCAAACTGAAGATCATCCATTGATAGATCATACCTACGTGATTTGATCGTCGTTTTTAGACGTCGGCTAGAGTGATTTACCAAGCAGCTGGTTACACCGACTACATTTTAGTCTCCTAGCCTGCTACTATACATCTCGGGCTCACTCGGTCACTACTAACGACGGTTGTTTGTTTGGACCCTTGGCGGTTACCTTAACCGGTACCTTATCGGTCGAGCAAGGCTTGAACCTCGCACTCAACCTACCTAATCTGTACTTCAACCAACAACTTACATTCCACGATCAGCCAACTCTGTCAGCTACCTGATCGACTATCGACTACCAGTCCTCACCAACAACTTGCCCTTCTCCCTCCGCGATGGCCAACGACAAGGGGGACAGTGGGCCTTCGGCCATCGCTATTGCCAGCAACAAGATCCCATTCTGGCGTCTGTTGACCGACCAAGGCGTGTTAACTCAGGAAATCATCGATCATCACTATCCTGGATCCGGTACCGATGAGGATCCATATGCAGTCACCTGGCTCCCCCAGGATCCCCGCAACCCCATGCAGTTCAGCGAGACGAAGAAGTGGACTTTCACCATGATGATGGCGCTCGCGACCTTGGCCGTCGCCCTTGTGTCATCAGCCTACACTGGTGGTATTGTCGAAATTGAAGAAGACTTTGGAATCGGTACCGAGGTTGCGACCCTCGGTGTCTCCCTTTTCGTTCTTGGTTTCGCTATTGGTACGCTCCGCAATCCGTCTCCTTGTTTTCGCACGTGTGTTTTTACCAGTTCATCCTAACCAAGATGCAGGTCCGCTCCTGTGGGCACCGCTGTCGGAAATGTT